TCATTTTATTTTCAATTTCATTTAATTCTGCTCTAATTTTGGTTATTTCTTTTCTTCTGCTGGGTTTGGGATTGGAATGTTCTTCCTTTTCCAGTTGCTTGTGATGTCCCATTAAGTTGTTAACTTCCTCTCATTTCGTTCTCTTGAGGAAGGCTTTCAGTCCTATAAATTTCCCTCTTAGGACTGCCTTTGTGGTATCCCAGAGGTTGTGATAATTCATATATTCATTGTCATTTTGTTCCATAAATTTCGCAATTTCCTGCTTAATGTCGTCTATGACCCAGGTATTCTTCAGTATAAGGTAATTTAGTTTCCATGTTTTTGTATGAGAATGCAGATTCCTGTTATTGACTTCAACTTTTATTCCATGATGGTCCAAGAAGAGGTAAGGAATAATTTCTATGCTTTTAAATTTGCTGAGCTTAGACTTGTGACATAAGATGTGATTAATTTCGGAGTATGTTCATTGGCTGATGAGAAGATTGAGTATTCAGTTTTGTTAGGATGAAATGTTCTTTAGATATGTGTTAAATTCAATTGTTGAATGGTTAAGTTTAAGTCTAAAATTTCTTTGCTTAGCTTCTTATTGGAGGATCTATCCAACACTGCCTTAGCAGTGTTAAAATCTCCAACTATTATGGTGCTGGAGGAAATTGAGTTGCTCATGTCTGTTAGAGTCTCTCTTATAAATTGAGGCTCATCCTGGTTGTGTGCATAACTGTTAATAATTGAAATCTCATCATGTTGAATGTTACCCTTAAGAAATATGAAGTGACTATCTTCATATTTCTTTCCTTACCTTGTTGGTTTAAAGCCTATTGTATCTGCAAATAAAATTTTTCTGCTTTCCATTTGCCTGAAATATAGATGACCATCCCTTCAACCAGAGTCTATATTTATCTTTTAAGATAAGATGAGATTGTTGCATGTATCAGGTATCTGTGCTGAATTTTTGTATCCAGTCAGCCAACCTGTGCCTCTTTAGAGGACAATTTAAGCCATTCACATTCATTGTAAATATTGATAAACCTGGTAGAATTTTGGGTATCTAGTTTTTCAAAAGTCCAGTGGTCATTTTAAATTCTTCACCACTGTGAAAGTTGGAATTTGATCAAAAGTTCTGAGTGAGTTTACTTTTGTGGTGGAGGATTGCATTGGTCATTTAGGAGGATAGGTTTGAGAATCTCCTAGGGGCTGGTTTAGTTATGGCAAATTTCTTCAACATGTGAATGTCATTAAAGTATGTAATTTCTCGATCATAAATGAAACTCAGTTTAGCTGGATACATGATCCTGGGGTGACAGTTACTTTGTTTTAGGAGATTAAAAGTCAATGACCACCCTCTTCTAGCTTTAAAGGTTTCAGCAGAGAGAGCTGCAGTCATTCCAAAATTCTTCCCCTTGTAGGTTATGGTTTTCTTATGTCTGGCTGCTTTCAGAATTTCCTCCTTCATTTTCACTTTGGCAAAGTTAATTATAATGTGTCTAGGAGATATTTTATTCAGGTTGAATCATGCTGGGGTTCTGAAACTGTCTGCTATCTGAATTTCAAAATCTCTTTGCATGTCTGGGAAATTCTCCTCCTTATTTCATGAAGTAGAGCATCTGTGCCTTTCAAAGCCACCTTGTCACCTTCAGGGATTCTTATAAGGTGAATATTAATTTTCTTCGAATTATTGGTTCTCTGAGAGAATGATCCACTTTTGCTCCCCATTTTTCTTCCTCTTTGAGCATTTGGGAGTTTTCCATAGCTTTGTCTTCAATGTCGGAAATTCTTTCTTCTGCTTGTGCCATTCTATTACTGAGAGATTTCACTGTGTTTCTCAGATCTTTGAGGGCTGCAAGTTCTTGTCTCAATGTGTCAAAATCTTTAGTGATTTTTGTCTTTGAGTTCATTGATTTCTTGAGACAACTTTTGAAATGCTCCTTGAATTTCTAATTCCAAATTTACCTCCATTCTGTTAATCTTATTTGCAATCCAAATTCCTAATTCAATTTCTGACATCTCAGCCATTTGTTTATGAATGGGATCTTCAGTTGTTTCCACCATGTCCCTCCTTGGGGGAGTTGATCTACTCTGGTTATTCATGTTACCAGAGTTTTTCTGCTGATTCTGCCCCATGATTATTTTACACTGTTTGACTAGATGAGCAGATAAGGTGAAGTTGGGTTGGGGGCTCCTGGAGTAGTAATTAACCAGCCCTTTGCCCAAGAGCACTGGTGTCTATAATTTTTCCCCTAGAGGTTTGCCAAGGACCCATACAGTGCTACAGCTTGAGACACTGAGGGTCTTGCTTGGTGTGGTCCGGTTAAGTGGCTCTGTCTTTTTTTCAGCTGGTCTCTGTCTTGCCCTAGTGAATCAGTTACTCTGAGTTGAAGTCTAAGCTGTTGATAAATGTCAGCAATTAAGTCACTCTGCCACCCCCATGGGCAACAACTGGAAAAGGAAAATCAAACCTTCCCACAACCACACACCCTGGGTACCTTTTTGGATAGTTCTCAGGTGATTTGCCCAGTTTAAGAGGTCCAAATCAGTTGTTCCAGTCAGAACTGGTCTCAGATGGGAGAGTTCAAAGTGTCTCTGGCAACTAGATAGCAGGAGTCTGCTGGCAGCTCAAGTTAATTGGCTCTGCTTCTCCATGAGTTCAGAAGGACCCACCCAGCAAATGAATTAGTCTGGGAAGGTTGATGCCTCCTTCCCCACCTTGCACCTCTGTCACACCCAGTCATGTAACCCTGCATGGCTGTGACCCAGTTCCCTCCATTGAGCAGATGCTCCAGGGGTTTGGGCCTGCCTGATTCACAGGGAGATCTATGTCTCCTCAGCCAGGCTGCCACTCTCTGCCACTATCTGGCAGGGAGAACTGAGGCCTGACAACTCCAGGTGCTTAATGGAAGCTGGAGCGGTTCACTCAGTTCCATCCCTGCCCTGGTTGATGTTACTGATACTTATATTTTCACAGAATTTATGATTCTGTCCTGGCTATATTCCCCTGTGGACCAGATGCCGTTTGAGTTCACAGAAACTGTGACTCAGCCTGGGTCTGTGCTGCTGCCCAGATCTGGCATGTCTGTTTCCATTATTCTCTGTATTGGGGTGGATGCCATTAGAGGTCACACTCAGCTGTCAGTTTCTGCCTCTCTCCACCTGCTTTTTTTCTCAGTTATGATCCCCTGAGGGACTGGTGTTGCTTAGGCTCACTAAAGCAGTCCTTTTGGCACAGCCCCACCCTGGAGTATGTCGTCTCTGTGCAAGCATATTCTGGTCTCCAGCCTCACCACACCCAGCCCAGTCAGGTACCACCTCAGGCATACCCTTTTACTCACGGGGCCTGCATTTCTGTCCAAGATCTGTTCCACCAAGTGGCTGCCACCAGAGAAGATGCCTGGCTTCCTCTATCCAGAGAGGCAAGGATCATCTTTCCAAAATATCCCCATAGGTGTGAGCCCTGTTGTTCCTGCTGCTGCTGCTGCTGTTCTGTGCTGCGGGGCACTGCCTCTCCCTCTCCCATATGGTTCCCTCAGTTCACTGTCCTCTCCTTACTCCCGTGCTGCAGAATCAGCACAGACCAGTAACAGCCCTCTGAAGAACATGCACAAGAATCTGGACTTCATGTGGCTCAGGCTTTCAGACCTCAGGGTGAGAGTGGAGGGGTGTGCTGGGAATTCAGAATTGCAGATAGAGAATATATACAGTTTTATACAGTTTTATGCCTGGTAGGAGAGTGCCATGACACACTGGTGGGTCCTCTGTTGGGAAGGAGTTCCAGTTTTTAGAGGGTCTATGTTATGGGATAAAATAGGAGGGGATCTGAACTCTCCTCGCTTGTTTATATGTAGAAAGTATGCTGTGAGCCATTCTCTTGGGGAAGGGGGCTCCTGTCTGCTTGGGGATGGATTTTATACCTATTATTTGTTTCTTTGGAGTTGCAGCTCACCTCAGCATGGTTGATATGCATTCTTCAACCTTCTCACTTGGCTCACCTCCAGACTGTCAGCTTACTTGCTACACTTCTGTCCTTTAACTCTCCTTCTGGATGGGAGCATCTGTGGAAAGCTGGCTCTAGTAGGCCATCTTCTAAATCTATGACTTTTAAAATATCTTCAAGCTTCTGTTTTCCTCAGTAAAATATGGATTAAAATAGTATCTGCAACATGGTTTGTGTGAACATTAAGTTGTAAATTATCTATATAATACATATACATCCTATATATTATAAGCATTTATGAAATGGTAGCTCTTATTGGTGATTAAAAAGTGGTGAAAGGATAAGTGAATAAATAAAAACCCTCGTGAATAATGGTGAAAAGTGAATTAAGGAGTACCTTTTTTTCTTTTTTCTTTTTTTGCTTTTAAAAAATATTGGTACATTTAGGGTCACAAGTGTTTCTTGTTATATGGATGAATTATATAATGCTAAACTCAGGACTTCCCGTGTACTTGTTACTAGAATAGTGCCATTATACCTGATAGGTATATTTTTATCCGTTAACCCTCCCCCTTATTTTTTAATGTTCATTATATGAATTTTTTTATAATTTAGTTCCCATTTGTAAATGAGAACATGTGATGTTTGTTTATCCATTCATGAGATACTTCACTTAGGATAATGATCTCCAATTCCATCCAAGTTGCTACAGAAGACGTTATTTTACTCTTTTTTAATGACTCCATTATACTCAGTAGATTCTGAAATGGAGGTGGTTGCAGACATTCTGAATTGGATATTAACTGTAGTTCTGAATTTAGTATTGAGTCCCAGGGTACGGAGTGGGAACTGTGAGGCAAAAGGCCCATTTCCTCATTCTAAGGATGCCACAATATCTCCATTCATGTAATTTGTCTACAGTAGGAAGATACATATTTCTTATAAATAAAATGAAACATAATCAAACAACAAGCTACATCACTGCCTATAAAACTGTGCCTGGGAAATTTCTGATGCCATGGAGGGAAATTCTTGTAGACTCCTTTAGTTTATTTAAGGAATGTGATCCTCTTGTTTCTCCTTTCCTCTTTCTTCTCCTTTATTTCCTGATGTTTTACCTTTTCAGGAGTAAACTTGTACCAGGTTCTCTTTTCTAGACATCTGAGCTCTTTATTCAACTACCTTTTCTAAAAAGTTGAGAGGAACTATTTGACTAAGCCACTGAGGGTTAGGTTTAGAAACAAACTAAAATGAAAAGAAAATGAATAAAGTTATTCAACAATAAAAAACATCAATTTTCTGGTATATTCTCTTTTTCCAAACCCAGTTATAATCTCATATACTTAGGATTCCTACTGAAAGTATTTTAGAAAAATTTTGGACCTTTATTTTTAAAAAATAATTTTTAGGTATAATTGACATATACTAAATGGTATATATTGATATTTTATGTTTTTACACACACATTATCACAGTGAAGAATGAAGAACATATCCTTGACCCCTACCATTTTCTTCATTTCCCTTTTTTTTTTAAGCATTTCCCTTTTTAATCTCTTTCCAGCTTGTAACATCCCTACTTTATCCCCAGGAAGCACTATCTTCTTTGTTTTTCACTATAGGTTTACACTTTCTAGAATTCTAAATAAATGGTACCATATAGTCTCTATTCCTTTTAGTCTAGCTTCTTTCACTTAGGATGATTATTTTGAAATCCATTCATGTTGTTATATACACTAATAACATGTCCCATTTTTATTGTTGTTTTTTAGTTGTATTCCATTGTATATGTTAAAGAGAAAATAAATTATTCACATTTGTGAAAATAGCAAGTCTGAAATTATTGAGGACTATTTCAAGAGGTATCGGAATTACTACAATGAATTTTCACAGTAGGGGAAAGATATTGAGTTCAACTCCAAATACAACAAGGAAAATAGAGAATTTGCAACCAAGGGACAGTAGATTGAATCAGTGGATGGAAAATTATTAACAGAAAATTTCATGGATAAGGGAGGATTCTGGCTAAACTGACCCTACAGGATTCTTGGTGAAGGTAAGCCAGGATGATCAAATTTCACCTGGGGATAGTGAGGGATGAAGAATTTTGTCAGATATGAAGAATGGCCAGATACCAAGAATTCTGACTAATTTGCCATAGTAAACATTTTATTCCTTTTTTTTTTATTAACTCATAGCTGTGTGCATTAATGCAATTATGGGGTACAATATGCTGGTTTTATATACAATCTTAAATACTTTCATCAAACTAGTTAACATAGCCTTCACCT